CCTTTTTATTTTATATGGTTAAGTTTTTTGTGTAATTGGGAAACACACAGGTTAATAGATTAAGTATCATTGGGAATGAAGTCTAGCAATAAAATTGAATTACTTACACCTCCAAAGATGTATACTTGTCATTAAACATATTGATCGATTTTTTGTTACATTATATACTTTTTTATAAAGAAAAAACATATAATTATGCCTCTAGTTTTTGGATGCCATAAATCTTAAATATGATAATAGAAAATCAGATGTTTATTGTTCCAATTAATAAATGGATGTTAGAAACACCACTCTAGAGGTGCTTTAATAGTGACTTGATTCCCCTGACCACTGATGTTGAGGTATTTGAATAAAAAGTAATAAGCCAGTTAACCTTTCACTGAGTTAATACTTATGGTGAATTCATGTATATTACTTTCTCAGCATTTGCCTAATGGTAAGATGGTTTACTACGTTGGCATAAGATATAAATTCTGAAAGAAAAAGAAATATGCTGCATGCTTCAGAGATATTGCAGGTTCTGTCCAGGCTACCACTATAGAGCAAATATCACAATAAAGCAAGTCACATGAATTCATTGGTTTCCCAATGCACATAAAAATTATGTTTACACCATACTGAAGTCTGTTAAATGTATGGTAGCATTAGATGTATATAAAAAGATCTTTTACTTTAATTAACAAATACTTCATTTGCTTATTCAGCTAACAATCATCTAAGACTTCCATGAGGCATAATCTTTTGCTGGAGGAGGGTTTTGCCTCGATACTGATGGCTGCTCAGGATGGTGGTTTTTGAAGGTTGAGGTGGCTGTGGCAGTTTCTTAAAATAAGACAATAATGAACTTTGCTGTAGTGAGATATCTGTGTAGCATGTGATGCTGTTTGATAGCATATTCTCCATAGCATAACTTATTTCAAAATTGGAGTTGGTCCTCCCAAACCCTGCTGCCGCTTTATCAGATGATTTTATGGAATATTTTGAACTTTCTTTTGTCATTTCAGCAATGTTTGTACCCTCTTCACCAGGAACACATTCC